TAAACAAATCTTGTCAAGAAATCCTGTGGCAGGTTTGCCTTACAGTCACCATCAATCAAAATGACTTAAATACATACAACAAAAGTGAATTGCTACAGCCGTGAGTTGTTGTGTGGTATCTCTACATAAGCAGGAGCTGAGGTGTGCTTCCAAATGGACAGTGACAAACTTTTACCTAGTTTTGAAGTATGTCTGTGCAGAAGCATTTGAATTCCACACACATTACTGTGAGAGCTAAGCCTATCTCCCTTTTCTGTCAGCTCTTTAGACAAAAGCAAAAGTTTCTTTATTTTTGTCCAGAACCTTTTTGCAGGATTGATTCATGCTTTTGTTTGTGTAATTAGTTAATAATTCACTGCACAATTAGATTTTATTGAGTGCATTATGAAATTTAAATTAGATTGTTAAATATGAACAAATAATATTTTATTTACTATGTGTTAAACATGTCCTTATAGGGTCCTGGCTTTATTGCTGCAGTGTGGGGAGTTCTGATGTTCAGAGAAGTGAAGGTAAGGGATATGGCATCCTGAACATACACCTGTCATCACAGCCATATCTACATTTGAGGAACAGTGCGAAGATTGGAAGGGAGGAAGCCCAACTCTCTTGTACCTTCTTTCCACCCATTCATTTTGACTTTCCAAACCATTAGATGGAAGTTGTTATCAGAACTCACCTTGCCGAACATTACCAAAAGTTAGGGAAAAGTCTGAATTCTGCCTCAGCATTTGGGTTTCTCCTCAACTTAGGGTAGTAGCCTACATGGAATCAGCTGAAGCTGTTCCCACTGCCTTCCCATGTTTCCAGTGCTCAGACAGCCTGGAGAAATTGGATTATATTCCCCTCTGCTCCATGTTGAGGCAGCAAGCACAGAGAAGGGAAAAGGAAGAGGTGGAGGGATTTCCTCTTCTCCATTTTCCCTTTGCCTTCACTGGGGAAGTGAAGGGAAATATGTGCTGTGACTGGACACCGCTGTGACATGGGGGGAAAGGGGGTCACTTAGGATAGTTGCTCAGTGGCACAGAACTGAATTCGGACTACTGAGCTATGAGAACTCCCTCCCACATCCATGACACCTGGAGAAGTCCGTGTGGGGAAAGCTTTTGAGCCAATCAGGTGACTATCATGATGGATCAGCCTTGAATTGTCAGGGTAGATGTGCCCTTGGACCTAAGCTCTTTGGGGCTTTAAATGACAACACCAGTGCTGATCTGCAACATAGTGAACCATTCTTACCTTCACTAGCATCCAGATGGACACACTATGCACCAACACACATTTCTAAACCTTCTTTAAAGGCAGAGAATACAGCATGATTGTTCAGGACACCTTTCACACGACAGAGTTATATTTTAACTGGTATGGCAGCATCCTATGGAATTCAGAAATAGATTTTTAGAATTCTGTGCCAGATAGTTCTAGTGTGTCACCAAGCTACAAAGTCCAGAATTCCATAAGTTGTTGCAATGGCAATGACAGTGCTAACATAATGTTATAACTGTAAAGGTGTGAAAATGCCCTAACTTAAACCTAACTAGCATATGGGCAATTGAGTCAAGGTAGCAATTGCTATCCAACATATCTGCAGCAGTATATTTGTGTAATGCCATTTCATCCACACAATGATTCAGTTAGTTAAGCAAGGCAAAGGAATAGTGATTGATCCAAAATCAAAAACTTCATAGCTCACCTGGAGTGCAACGACAGGCTAATCTAATAAGTTCATGTAATGCGGTTCATTTGGCTAACTGGAGGAATGTTGTTCAGCTAATGTATGCCTATACTAGGTATAGGGCAGATGGACTTTAATTTTCTTATGACCTCGTCAGATGGAGTAATTTTTGGTGGCAAACACCAAATCCTCTATAGTTTTGAGACAGGGCTCACCAGCTCCCATCCCACAATGTAGAACTACTTCCATTGGGGCTCTGTCAAAAAACTATAGAGGATCCAGTATATACTGCTTCTATGGAAATGCAAGAGTCTTCCCATGTTCAATTGGAACCAATGGGGGGAAGCCAGGCAGTGGGCACTTCCCCCCATAGGATGGAGTGAGGGGGTAGCTGGGCAATCCAGGACAATAGATTCTCTATGCCCCACAGCCAGATTCGCCATTCCGGTGGCCAATATGATTATGTAATTATAAAACATGTACTGATAAACCAACACTGGTATGAGTCTCCTTATCTACAATGTGATGCAGATAATGTCATGTTATATTCCTTGAATCTCTTGTATTTTTCTTCCTTGTTTTCCCCTTTCCAACCCATTCTATATTTCTGCAGGGACTGAAAAACTACGTTTTGCTCATAGTAGGATTTTGTTTCATTTTGGCTGGATCGCTTGCAACCGTATTTTCTAAAGCCTGAAGATAACATCACTTGAACCAGCAGATGGCACCATCAGTTAATAACTTTGATGTGAAAGAGTGTGTGTGTGTGAAGTTATATATGAAGCATGAATGTTGTATTCAGACTTGTATACTATCTCCAAAATATCTTATTATATGTGTGTGTAAATAAATACTGTTATTCCAAAATCCAAAGCCTTTCTGATCTCAAACATTCTGTATAAAGAATACTTAACCTGTAGTTGTTGTTTTAAGGGACCACTCATCCCCTGATGAATTTTGTATACTGCTGCACAAAACTTTGCAACATTGTAGGCTGTAGCTGAAATAATATCTACAAGTAACAGGGGGGTATAAAATTGTCCTGAATGGCCTGGGTGCTTGTATATCAGAGGTAAGATAAACCTGGCATGGATATCTCTGTAGAACAGGCAATGGAAGAGCACATGTTCTATTGTCACTGGGGCAGAATCTCTCTGGGAAAGGGATCTTCTGGTAGCGGCCTTCAAGTACAGCTGATGGGAGAGCATGGCATCGAGCCAGGATGAAAGCCCTTCGATGAATAGGAACCTCTAAATTTGTTAAATATACCATAGGGGAGGCAAGATATTTGCTGTCTTTGTTGATAAGGAAAGATGAAGTTAGTTGTACTTGTTGGGCTTGAAGTGTACAAAATACCAATCTTCAATTGAAGATTTAGCCAATGAAATTCAGCAACAAAAAAGGCTCAAATAGGCAGGTTAGTCAAATAACTCCTCCCCCCCCCCTCACTTATCTTAGTTCACGGCACCCCACACAAGTTAAATAATATCAAGACCAACAAAAGAAACCAACTGACAGATGAACAAAGAAGTCACTTAGCAGGTTATTTAAATAATTATTTTTGGTTTATTAAATACAGTTATATATTACAATTAAACATTTTTGTTATTTAAACTATAAATATTGTGAAATAATGGGTTTTTTTTCTTGAAGTGACATCCCACCTGAGTTACACTCAGTTTTTTTGGTGAATTTTGACACAAGAAGCTCAAAAGGTTGCCCATCACTGATCTAGGTCATCTTTCACAAGTTACTTTGAGAGAATATTATGGGGCACCCTGTCTAATGCCTTACTGAAATCAAGATATGCTACATTCACAGCTTTTCCATCTATCAAGCTTGTAATTTAAAGAAAAGGAGGGGGAAGGTTCATCTGGCATGCCTTGATTTTGAGAAACTTATGTGAATGTGTCAAAATTGGTTTCTCAAAAATAAGGCATGCCAGACAAACCTTTCTCCCTTACCTATGACACATGGTAAGGTAGAAAGAAGTAGCAAATAAAGGGCTGCATTCAAGCACATAGACGCAACCAAGGAAACCACAGCCTGTGTGACCTAAGCAGGGATGCTGACACTAGAATGACTTGAAGGTCTCTCATTCCTAGGTTGAGGTAGAGGCAGATAAGTATAATAAAATTGTATGGTTAGTGAGCTTCTTTCTCAGGACATAGCTTCAGCATCAGGGAGAAAAGGTGAACATGGTTCCTTAATAACCTCCTGGGAGCAAGACTACGTCAAAGGTAAGAAATGCTTCTTCTCCCTTCCCTTGTCACCATGTACAAGAACTCTGTTGCAACAGCTCCACTGGCTGTCAGTTTGTATCTGGGCACAATTCAAACTGCTGGTTATGAACTTTAAAGCCCTATACAGCTCAGATCCAGGCTACTTGACTGATCACATCTCCTTGTATAAACCTACCCAGGCTTGGAGATACACAAGAGATAGGCCCTACTCTCGGTCTCACCTGCATCACAAGCTTGCTTGGTGGGAACAAGAGAGCGGGTCTTCTTTCTCAGTGGCTGCCCCTCCACTGATACTGCTGATGTTTAATTCTGTTTTATTTTTTCTCTTTTTTAGGTTTTATAGTGTATATTATGAGCCACCTTGAGTCTCATTTTAGGATACAAATCATAATCAGAACCATGAGACACTGATAGTACTTAAGAGGCAACACAAACATTGAATCAGGGTTTCAACCCCCCACCCCACCCCCGAAAATGTTTCAGGTTTAACCCTCTCCCTCCTTACATCTGGCACAGCTGCTTTGCTGATAACTACAGAACAAAACATGTAAAATCACAAAAAGGATGGTTTTGTGCATATCTTCATACATTTAGATTTTTTTAAAAAGACAAACATATCCCTCCCTATTACACGTTAATATAAAGAATATCAAGATAATTGTTGTACAGTAACAGATGTTAGAAATATTAGGCTGATAGATGTTGTATGCCACTAGATGTTTCCATGCTTGCTTGTTCATTCAGATCAATTCCTATTCTTCCTACTTAGAAAAAGAGATGAATATACTTCTCTTTAAACAGGTTTTCTAAAACCTTTGATGTTTACTGATTACTGTGGTGAAATTAAGGGTTTGGTTTTAGGTTCATTTCCTTGTTTTTTGTGGAAAGACTGGATCAAAGAGTATTAATTAATAAAATATTTTATTTCTCTATTTCCACTACTTGTAGGTGAAATAGACTGAAGTGACTCCTTAAAAGAGTCACTCAAGTCTCAAAGAACGGTGATGGATGGGCCACAAAGAAGTACTGGCTCTGCTAGCAGCAACCACATATATCCATCTGGCATTGCTCTTGCTACTTCAATATTAGCTGTCCTCTTATTCGGAACATCTTTTGTACCAGTGAAGCAATTGGGCGTTGGGGATGGTAATTATCTCGACTTCAACCAAAGTTCTGTTATTATACCTTGTACAGATCTAGATCTGATTGTGCAATTTGTACATACTTTCAACACACTGAGTAGCTCAAAAAAGGAAAATGGGGAAAGGAAATGAGTCAATCTAACAATATTTTATTTATCTATTCAAAACAAGTTAATTTACATTTTAGCATAAGCTTTCATAGAGATTGTGGTCCCTGTGAAATGTGCAGGCAACTTTGAATCTTCTAGAAAGCTCTTTCAGTACAAAATGATGGTAGCCCTGCCCACTCTCCCCATAGAGTATATAAAGCCAGTAGGAGGGGTTATTGCCTCAGTTCCTTTGATCCACTGCTCATAAAGCAGATGAGGAATCTCTCTCTTGACTTGTCTTGTTATGACTGATTTTGACTCAAAAACTGCTTTTCAGATTTCTAATTTCTCCACCCTTGACCCAGATTGTTTTTGACTATCAGATTTCTCCTGCCCTGACTTGGATAGATCTTCATTCTGTGACTCTCCACCCCCTGACCCGGTCTGTTTAATGTTTCTGCCAGGATGTGTGCCTGTTTTAAGAGGAGTACCTCATGTGGGAGCAAACTGCCCGACTCAGATGGGCACACTATGTGCCTTCTCTGTCTGGGAGAGCGCAATGCTGCACAATCCTGTATGATTTCCCTCTCTTTCGCTTCCCAATCCTGGAAAAATTGAGAGGCGTGCCTCAAGGTTCTCCTATACAAATAGGCTCTCTTGCCCCCTTAAGCTCTAGAACAACAGATCATTACTGGGACTGACGCAGAGGTGCCCTTACCTGTTGCCACTCCTCCTCCTCCAGCTTCACTTCCTTCAGGTGGCAAACACAAGCCCAAGATGACCGTGCCATCCACCACAACAGTGGACCACCAGAAAGACTTGGAGAGGCCTAGGCCTTCAGAAAAGGTGGGGGGAAATGCAGTTCCTATTGCCTTGGAGCATCTCGCCCCAGCATCACCCCCAGTGGTCGCTGCTTAGAGGATACCTACCAGCCAGCCCTCCCTTACCACTTAAAGAGAGGAGCATGTGCAATTGCCCTCAGAGCAGATTCACCTAGAGAAATTGCTGTCGCTGTTACCGGACCCTTTACCATGCCATGAATCTCCTCAGCCACACTGGGCTCTCTGTCAGCAACCGCAACTATGTGTACCAGCGACCTCAAACTGCTGTCAGGACCGGCCCTCCCATTGACTCAGTTCCAGCCGAGTTCAAGGAGCTACTGGCGCCCAGATCATCAATAACAAAATACAAGTTGCAAGTTGTTATCCAAACAAAACTATGTTAACATAAACTGTGTGAATACACTGAATATAAACCACACACAAAAATTACAAGTCTGAGTGCTACTTGGTTATCTCGTAGTCCTTGAAAAAGTCTTCAAAATGCAGTCCAAATAAAGTCCAAATAGTTCAAATTGCTGTCCAATTCAAAATATTATCCAAATTATAATGCTTGCTGTCCAGTTCAAAGTATTGTCCAAATAGTAATGCTTAACCAAATTATAATGCAACAAGGATCCCCAGGTTGAGGTTGCCTTGTTTCAGGAGACTTCCCCTTCTTCAGGATTTTGTCTTCTTTATAACAGTGGGTGGTTCACCATACATTCCTAAATGGGTGATAACAAACAACATAATAGATATGCCAAAAAGGCACCCAAACCAAAAACATTTAGTGATAATGACATGCATTCCAGTGAAATAGACTACACACGCATTATTACTCACGTTATTAATGAGACAACGCTGGCCCTACAGTTTGGTCTTCAATAGTGAGCAATGCAGTTACACAGAAGAAAGGATTTAAAGGCAAGGCTAATTACAAACAGTCATCTGGAATGTAAATTACAAGTAGATAAGGTGGATAATAGGGCTCATTACAAAAAGCAGCTGAGGTCCAGTCTATCGTTAAGACCGGTAGGAAAAACTATGTTTAACTTAAAAATCCAAAATGTTTCCCTTTGCAAAAGATAATTCTTAGTATCCATATGTGGCTTAGGCTTAGTGTGTTCCAAATTGGCTACAAACAGGTTGGGTAGTGAAGGGGCCAATGGGCTGCCCATAGCCGCACCAAAAATCTGCAAATAAAATTGTGATCCAAATCTAAAATAATTATTTTCTAAGACAATGTCTAGGAGATCAATCAAAAAATGTGTGGGAGGCACTGCTGACTCTCACGTGTCCAGTAGTTCTTTAATATGTACTGTGGAGGCATTCGAGCTGGAGAGGGATGAGCAAGCATTGTTTTGTGGGAGAGGGCCCTACTACAGGCTTCTAATTCCCTCAAGAGGTCATCTGAATGGGGGACGCCTGCCTCGATAGCAGTACATGTGAAAAAGATCTTGGAGTCTTTGTGGACAACAAGTTAAACATGAGACAACAATGTCATGCGGTAGCAAAAAAAAAGCCAATGGGATTGTGGCCTGCATAAATAGGAGTATAGTGTCTAGATCCAGGGAAGTCATGCTACCCCTCTATTCTGCTTTGGCTAGACCACACCTGGAATACTGTATCCAATTCTGGGCACCGCAATTGAAGGGAGATGTTGACAAGCTGAAATGTGTCCAGAGCAGGGCGACTAAAATGACTGAGTGTCTGCAGAACAAGCCCTATGACGAGAGGCTTAAAGAGCTGAGCATGTTTAGCCTTCAGAAGAGAAGGCCGAAAGGAAACATGATGGCCATGTATAAATATGTGAGGGGAAGTCATAGGGAGGAGGGAGCAAGCTTGTTTTCTGCTGCCCTGGAGACTAGGATGATGGCTTCAAACCAAAGGAAAGGAGATTCCAACTGAATATTAGGAAGGATTTCTTGTCTGTGAGAACTGTTCAGCAGTGGAGCTCTCTGCCCTGGACTGTGGTGGAGGTTCCTTCTTTGGAGGCTTTTAAACAGAGGCTGAATGGCCATCTGTCAGAGGGGCTTTGGATACAATTTTCCTGCTTCTTGGTCAGGGGTTGGACTGACTGGCCCATGAGTCTCTTCCAACTGAATGATTCTATGATTCTTTGGTGGCATGATGTCCACCAGCCAAGGTTAGTAGCTTGGTAGCCTTCCATTTGTGCAATTTCATAGGACCCATGATGGAGAAGTATAGGTTGCTTACTTGTAACCGTGTTTCTCTGAGTGGTTCCCTGTGAAATTTGCACATCCCTGCCCATCCTCCCCACTGTTGTCATGTCTTGGCTCTTCGAGATGCTACTCGCAGCGGAGGAACTGACGCAGTAGCCCCTCCTACTGGGGGGAGAGTGAGCTATCACCATTTTTTACTGAAAGGGCTTTTTAGAAGATTCCAATGTTGCCTGCACAAGCACAGGAAATACCAAATGTGCAAATTTCTAAGGTGACCAATTGGAGAAACACGGTTACAGGCAAGCAACCTATACTTCTCATATGCATTTTGAAGGGATAATAAAAGCACAGGTTTTTTAGCATGACTAATCCATTGTGAGAAAATGCAATAGGATACAATAAGATGCAAATCTTTAGCTGGCTCAAAAATCTTTAAAGAGCTATGTGAGCTGCTACAGCTCTTATAAACAAAGTTATCTGACATGTAAAAACAAATCATCTGCTTATCAAATGCTAGTTCCCTTGAAGTCAAGGACTTCTTCTTAGGAGACTCCTTTGTTATATATATAGTTGTAATGACATCTATATAATTAATATATTGAGCTACTATAAAACCATTATCTTTGTTTATACCTCCAACAATGTACTAGAATGTGTATATAGAACTCTAGTCACCTGTTTTTCTTTCTATTCTTTATATTTGAAGTCAGAATTTTCTAAAATGCCTTTACATGACACAAATAATTTAATTGTCATCATTTTCATTTTAAAAAGCTTACCTAAATGTCGTTGAACCTATTTTTTAAGTAATTCAAGGCTAAATATTACATTACAAAGTTCAAAATAGTCCACATAGGTGGGTGTGATTGTGACATCATTTCTCTCTGATGGTTCAATATACACAAACAGTTTCATGCACAAAATTTTAAAATATTGTATACAATTGCCCATGTTTATAAGGTATAGATGAATTATAAATGAATTTTTGATCAGACTTGGCTTCTATTGCCAAGTTATCACACAATGTATACATATGGAAACACAGTTATTCTAAAATATGAAAAGAATCCAAAATTCAAAACACTGGTCCAAACCCGTACTGTGGGGAAAAAAATCTGGCTTCACCATCACAAAGTCTAAGAACTCTATAAAATATTAAAACTAAATGAGAATTTGTAGCAGTTGGGTAAGAATTATCTATTATGCTAAACTCATCTTGTATTTATTTGGTTTTAGGAATGTTCTTCCAGTGGGTTCTGTGTTTTGCCATCGGGATAGTAGGTGCAATGGTTCAGTTCATTCAGAATTTCCCAACATTTTGGCATCTTGCTATGGTTGGGGGCTTTTTATGGGCTACAGGTAATGTTGAAAAACTACTAATTCTTTCAAAGAATGCACATGTTGTAGCACAGCAAACATTGGTTAAGCTTTTGAGTGCTCAGAGGATGAGGAAAGAGATGATGAGCTGCAGCCTGTAATTTCCAATAAGTCTGTGGAAAAAAGCAGGGGCCTGGAGAGAGATGTTTTAGGCAATGGGAGAAAGTGGTATCAGTTTTCATGAGAATAGGCCAGAGTAGCCTTCAGAGGAAAATGTGGAAGACAAAGGTTTTTCCAGATTGACTCACCTTGAAATTAGGAGGCAGAATGTAAAACAAAGACAAACTCATTTTTCTCAAAGGCTTAGAGATAAGCAGAGAGATAAGCAGGTGTGCGTGAAATGATGTCATGGGAGGGAAGGAGACCTTTTCAGTGGTTTCTGGGCTCTCAGGCCCAGAAGACAGAAGATGGAGACAGACTAAATAATTTGGGATTTATTAAGTGCCAGGGGAGTCAGAATATACTTTTTTAGTGCCTGGAGATAAGGAGAAGCAGGACCTGAAATGGCTTTGCAGAAATTTAAACTGGAAAAGGATAATAATAAAGTATTATGGAAAAGAGGGTCCCTTTCAGAGGACATCAGTCTGAGAGACGTGATGTGAGAAATACAAACAGTATCAGAAAACCAGAAAACCAGAAAATAATACAAGACCAAATGTTAAACATGAAAAAAGAAATAACTGAGGAATTAGGAGACATAAAAAAGACATCAGTGAGTTACAACAAGATATTAAGGAGATGAAAGAAGACAAAAATTAGAGAAAACAAAAGACAAATTCCAAGCAAACATAGCTAAATTAGAAGCAAGGAATTTAAAATTGGAACCCAGATAAGCAAAACTACAACAAAAGGAGATGGAATTCCAACATAGAATCAGATAAGTACAGGGAGATTCTGTGACAGAACTCACAGAATTTCAGCAAACTACTCAAGAAAAAATAAAGTGATCAGACATGTGATTGTCCATTTCACAAAGAAGAGAATAAAGGATGTGATCCTCAAATGTAACAGAAAAAAAATCTATTTACTACAAAAGGAAAGAAGACAGCCATCCTAAGTGAATATGGGATGCTAGCAAGGCAGTTACGTGTGGATACTTTATACGACAAAATGCCCAAAGAAATAAATTGAGAAATAAAGAAATACATAAAAAAGAGAAGGCATTAAGAGGTTGGAAAAGAAATCGAAAGACTGTCCAAAGGATTAAAAAACTGCACAAGATTTAACGGTACTAGGAAATTAAAAAAAATTACTTGGAAATGGAAGAGATTGCAAAGCAATTAAAATATGTAAAACCACAACATTTTCAAAATGCCAATAACCCTGAAAAATGGTTAGCTAGTAAAATTAGGGGAAAAGACAGTACATAACTGAAATTTATACTGAGGGGAAATGCTACACAACAGTAAAATAGCTAATCAATTTAATAAATTTTATAATAAATTATATTCTAAGGATCAAGTAAAAAGTAAGATATTGTTAAATTTCTAAGTAATCAAAATTACAAAAAATAACAGACCAGCAAAGAAAGTTGTTTTAAATATAGAAATAAGTGAAGAAGAAATGCAAAAAGCAATAAGAGGAATTGATGGAAATAAGGCCCCAGGACCAGATGGGTTGACAATGACATATTATAAGGTTTTTGAAGAAGAAGTAGCTCCATATTTTAAAAAAGTAATGAATTTGATTTTAAATCAACAAAAAATTCCTGTATCCTGGAAGTTTGCCACAATCACGATGCTGCATATAGAAGGTCAGGACCCCTCAGATGTCAGAAACTATAGACCTGTCTCAGTGTTAAATACTGACTATAAAATATTTACAAATATTTTGGCAGATAGGCTAAAAGTCTTTTTAAATAGTTGGATTAAAGCAAAACAAACAGGCTTTTTACCAAAACAGCAATTGAAAGATATAGAAATATTACTGATATAATTGAATACTATCAATCAAACAACCAGAAAGAAATGGTGCTACTAGCCTTAGACGTGGAAAAAACCTTTGACAGTTTGCATTGAGACTTCTTTAAAAACTTGAATGCAAGAAATAGATCTGGTGTACCAATTTCCAAATGTGATAAATAAGATATACGACAAACAAAAAGCAAAAAGCAAAATACACTTGAATCTAAAAATTTCAAAATATGCCACTTTTATTTTTATTCGATTCTGTTGAATAGTATAAGAAACAACCCAATCCTGAAAGGAGCCAAAATTAGAAAAGACGAATATAAGGTTAGAGCTTTTGCTGACAATCTGATTTGTATTGTTTAGGATCCAATAGAAAAGATAGGAAAGTTCTGAAAGTTCTGAAAGTGCCTTGGACAGTGAGAAGATTCAACCAGTCCATACTACAAGAAATAAAGCCCGACTGCTCATTGGACAGGGAGGTCTGGTGTGGGGTGATCCATGAGGTCATGAAGAGTCAGAAACAACTGAACGAATGAACAACAACAACAAATAAATAAATAATAAAAACCTGTCAAAATTCATCTGGCTGGGAAAAAACCAAGAATTAAATTGATAACTTGTTAGATGATAAGAAAAGAGGAGAATTTGGGCTGCCGGGTTTAAAACTCTATTACAAAGCATGTGGTTCGATTTGGATAAAGGAATTAATGATGCTCCAAAGATCTTAAGTTTTTGTCACTGGAGGGATTTGACCTAAGAATGGGGTGGCATTCCTATATTTGGTATGGGAAAAGGAAAGTAAAAAAAACTTTGGGAATCACTTAATTCGTTCTTCTCTGATAAAAACCTGGGAAAGATATAAAGAAAGACTGTATTCCAAAACCCCTCTGAGGATCTCTCCACTAGAGGCATGTCAAAGGAGAGAACTGGGAGGAGAGATTTAGCCGAAATATAGTGATATCTTTATTAAAGAAAAAGGAAAATATAAATTAAGAAAACAAGAAGATATTAACCAAAGATTTAAGAATATTTCATGGTTCCAATATATCCAGATGGAAGGAGCCCCCGGTGGCGCAGTGGGTTAAAGCCCTGTGCCGGCAGGACTGAAGACCAACAGGTCGCAGGTTCGAATCCGGGGAGAGGCAGATGAACTCCCTCTATCAGCTCCAGCTCCTCGTGTGGGGACACGAGAGAAGCCTCCCACAAGGATGATAAAAACATCAAATCATCCAGGCGTCCCCTGGGCAACGTCCTTGCAGATGGCCAATTCTCTCACACCAGGAGTCACTCCTGACACGATATATATATATATATATATATATATATATATATATCCATATAAAAGAATATTTCAGCAATGATAAGATTGGATTTGCAGAAAAAGATTCCTTTTAGAATAAAAAAAGAAAAAAATTACCAAAATATATAAAAGACTGCTAGAATGAGCCAAGAAAACCAAGTAAATTCAGGATTGAATAGTCAAATATATATATATACACACACACACACACACACACTTCTGACTTTAAGGAAAATTGGTATAAAATGATGTACCGGTAGTACATCACCCCACAAAGATTGGCAAAATGCTATAAAAAACAAATGTTGGAAATGTGGGGAACAGTTGGGCACGTTCTGCCATTCATGATGGTCGTGTAAAAATGCAAAGAAATTTTGGAGGGAAATCCAAGACAGAAAACAGAAAAATTTCCACGGCTGCAAGGATAGTCTAGGCCAGAAACTGGAGAAGCAAAGAATTACCGACGGCTGATCAATGGATACTGAAAATAATGGAAATTATGACTATGGACAGGCTGACATATTTGATATCAACAAACCAAGGGGGAAAAAAAACTCAAACGGATTGAGAGTTAAAGATTATTTTAAAAAGAAAATATGAAAATATTAATTTGAAGAAGAAAGAAAGGAGACATAAGCAAAACATTTGTTTTTTAAGTATAAATTGATAAAGTCATGGGATGCAGGAGGAGATAAAGTGTATAAGAACATTTCAAGAGCTATACAACACCACAAAGTAGAGGGAAATCAAAATGTATATATTTATTGTGTATATGGTTTTTCTTACTTCTTTTTCTCTTTTTTCCCCCTTTCTTCCTTTTTCCTTTTTTGTTATTATATATATATATATATAGAAAACATTTATATTTGTGTCATTAATTTAAAAAAAAATTAAAGGAAGTAGGGAGATACTCACCCCTACTTCCATATATTACTATGTATGATACCATGAGAGAGTATTGATAAATTGTTATTCTTCAGTCTATATGAGTTAGAATCATAGAAGCAAAGACTTGGAAGAGATCACATGGGTCATCTAGTCCAACTCCCTGCCATGCAGGAGCAACACAATCAAAGCACCCCTTGCCATTGGCCATCCAACCTCTGTTTCAAAGCCCCAAAGAAGGAGCTTCCACTGTACTCTGAGGCAGAGAGTTCCACTGATGAACAGCTCTTATGGTCAGGAAATTCTTCCTAATGTTCAGGTGGAATCTCCTTTCCTGTAATTTGGACCCATTGCTCTGAGTCCAAGTCTCTAGGGCCACAGAAAGCAAGCTTGCTCCTTCTTCCTTATGGCATCCTTTCAAATGTTTTATTTATACACACTTACACAACTATCATGTCTCCTGTCATCCTTCTCCCCTGCACACTAAACATACCTAGCTCTTTAAGCCCATCCTAATTGTGGTTGTTATTTTATTCCATTAGTATTATCATAATAGGTATTGTTGTTGCAATAATATAGCTATGAATATTGCATTAAGACTCAATTGATTTTGTTGTTCTTTTCACCCTGTGCAGGTAACATAATGGTTGTTCCTATTATAAAAACCATTGGATTAGCCCTCGGTCTCTTAATCTGGGGTTCTTTTAACCTGCTCACTGGCTGGGCCATCTCAAGGTAAAGACACACATAGAATCATAGAATTGTAAGTTGCAAGAGACTGCATGGTCCATCAAATCCAACCCCCCTGCTTAACTCAGGCTTAAGGTTTGTCGTTGTGTGTATTTGGGATATTTTCAGCAAAGACTGTCACGTCTAGAAAAAATACATTTTCTTGCTCATATATGTTTGATAATAGGATCCTACTTAGAACCCCAAAACATTGGCTGGAATCTGAATGTCAAATTGCTCCTGCAGAAGCAATGTCTATGCACTCAAAAAGACAACTCTACCTTTTCCCATGGCTCCTATGCACCCTGTGAAGCTGAGACGGGAGTGGCTACACAACTATCTAAGCAATGTTTCAGCATGGAAGGGGATGCTATGGAAATCCCAACATTATCATGAACTGGATATTGCTTTTGCACCATTACTCAGAGCCCATCTACCATGCAATTTGAAACTGTATTATAAGACTCAAATAACACAGTTTAAGACAGCGTAGACAGGTCTCCAGATGCTTCTGATGTGCTGACATCTTGATTTCAGAATGCTATGGATTATTTTTCTACAGAATTCTGAAATGAAAGAAAAAGACATTAGTGAGCCTACTTTCAATTGAAAATATATAAGATTTAATAATTTGCTGAATTAACTGCCATGCTTCATTATTTTACTCTTTATTATTGTTGCATATTAATCCTTTTGTAACAAACACAAATCAATAAGGGCAACACAGAATGAAAAGAATAAGAAGGTAAACAATTGCACATATAGTAGATCAGATCCAGAAAATTCTGTATACAGGCAGTCCTCTTAGTTGCAGACATCTGGCTTACACCCTATTCATAGTTAAGAAGTGAAAGGAAATGAAAGGAAGGGAAACTCACTCCTGGAAGAGTTATCATGGGGAAATTGTGTCTTCACTGAAGCTTTATTACCAATTCTTGCTTCTGTGACAACCAAAGGTGAAATCTTCTGAACAGGGGCATCATAGACAGCTAAATAATTGCCTCAGATGTTTTAAGCCTTCTTTATGTTATCTAACTGTGTATGTATATATAGAGGGGGGGGAGAGAGAGAGAGAGAGAGAGGAGTTACAGTTAAAAAATGTAGGTGTTTTGATTTACATACAAATCCAGCTTAAGAAGAAACCTACAAAACCTATCTTGTCTACAACCCAGGAACTGCTTGTACTGTCTCAGTGTTCCCCTGGATATTGTCTGGCTGTGGACTTCTTTCTTAGTTTCACTTAATTTTGAAAATGTAAAATACCAACAAAATTCTACTTTTGGTTCACAGATTTGGTTGGTTAGGAATTGACCCAAAACCACTTGAAGAACCTATCTTTAGCTATTTTGGAGCTGGCCTTTCAGTGCTCAGGTATTTCTTGTTGTTCTTAATAACTGTACTATTCTAGTTTTTTTTAAAAAAACGTAATTGAGTGAAACAATGAGCTTTGTGTTTCATGTAGGGTTTTGTTTTTTTGGTTTTTTTGCAGCATCATCGTGTTCCTTTTAGAGAAAACTGATGTCGAGAGTTCACCACCTATATCAGAATATGATGTAAGTTCCATTTTCATATTTTAAATATATGCTTCAGCACTGGAAGAAAGGTTTTAGCTTTATTCAGATCATTTGCTTTCTAAAGCTTTGTGGGGGAGTGATCAGACCCCGGCATTCTTTCTTTCCTGCTTCATGTGAGATTGTCTTCAATAATGCATGTTAAGCTTTTCTGTGCTACACAATGATAGCGTGAGAGGTGCAGTGACCATTTAACTCTTTGCAATTATAGCACTACGATTCCACTTTATCTGCCATAGTTCCAGCCTATGGAATCCTGGGATGGCAATTTAGGCCTCATCTAAACTGCTATAAAATCCAGTATTTGAATGCAGATTGTCTGCTTCAAACAGAATTATATGGCAGTGTAAATTCGTGTAGCCAAAGAATCCAGATTGGAATATTTCTAGAAATTTTAGACTCAATATATTTCATTTTTTTTTATCAACAGCAAATCATCGTTTGTGAACATGGGCTTGACCCACAGCCAGTCAATGTTGCTGAAACAGAAACTGATAACAACAATGATGTGTCATGGGTGGACAGTCTTTCTCCACTGAAAAAGAGAGTAATGTATGTTGACCATATGCTTCTGATAAATTTCTCTACCCTGTTATTTTTGGTGACATCCATTTTCTGGTTAAATTTTAAAACAGCAGAAATAAAACACTTGTAACTATCCCATTACAGTAGTGAGAACTTTTGACATCTCTTTCTGGGAACCCATCAACATTTTTCCATGTTGCTTTGTTTTCTATGACAACATTGCTCAAAACATACTGAATTTACCTTCTTTTTTTCTTTCTTTTCCTATAAGAGGCTGCTTTCTGGCTGCGATCGCTGGGATATTGTATGGTTCTAGTTTTGTGCCAATGCTTTACATCAAGGATCATGCCAAAAAGAATGCAGTGGGCTATGAAGGAGCCAGTCAGAATGGTAAAGACCAATGGATACTTGTAATAATAGTCTCCAGAGGGAAACCCATAACAGTCCGTTGCATTTTTAAAAAAAGCAGCCTTATAGTAGCAGTCTTAACCAATTTGTTTAATCATAAACCTTCAGGGACTACATTCCGCTTTGTAATGAAACACAAGGCCTTGTATTAAGGCACAATACTTTAATTCTAAACGTTGTGTGTGTGTATATGTGTGACTTCAAGTCACCTTTTGACTTGCATAGGGAAGACTAATATTAATGATGATGATAATGATATTGTTTATTTATATTCCACCCCCTCTCCCCAGGGGACTTGGGGTGGCTTACAACATAATACATTTCGCACAACTGATCTGGATTTCAGATCATGTGCCTATCATAGCGAAGTTAAAGATAGAGGAGCCAGAAGAAACAGAGGTAATAAAAACTTGGAGATATAAAAGTATGATAATCAAGACAGAAAAAAGTAAGAAAGAACTATTTAGAAGTGATAAAAACTACTTTAACGAGAATAGGGACTCAGCAAGTATAGAAATAGTCTGGGATACAGCAAAAACGGTAATTAGGGGTTACTGTATAGCAAAAGAAGTTGCAGTAAAGAAACGGCAAGATAAAGAAAAAAAGAGAAATAGAGGAAACACAAAAATAATTACAAAGTAAATATCAAGTGCAGGTTCAAAAAATTAAAGAAACAATGAGAAGAAATGGATAATTTGGATTTACGGAAGAAAGAGAAGTTTATGAAAAATAATTTCCAAAGATAAAATACAAATACAATGAAAAAATTGCTAATTATTTGAAAAATGTGAAAGAGAAAGGAAGAGTTATCCAGCTAAAGAATAAATATAATAAAATGGTAAATTTGAGCAAGGAAATAAGAGAGATATTTGTAGATGTTTTACCAGAAATTATATAAAAAACAAACACACGGATGAAGATTTTATTAAAATACAGAAGATAATAAAGAAGGCAATACGAAACTAGGAACAAAAATAAATATCAAGAAATAGAGCAGGTAATTGACACACTAAAAAAAATGCAATATCCCTGGGAAGTGACTGTTATACTGCAGAGGTTTACAAAGAAATGAAATAAACATACCAGAATTGAAGAATTTATTTAACAGTATTTTGAAAGGAGGGAAATCCCCAGATACATGGAGAGAATCAGAGATAATAACAGTGCGAAAAAGTGGAAAAGAAGTTCCAGCAGACCCTAATTCATACAGACCCATTAGCCTCCTAAATCAAGATTATAAAATATTCATAAAAATATTAGTAAAAAGAATATTTTATTACTAAAATAGTAAAGGATGCTCAATACAGTTTTATGAAAGATAGACATATTGTTCACTCTATAAGAAACATTCTTAATCATAATTTAAAAAATCACTCTTAAAGTTAGGCATCTGTAAAGCTTTTGATTCACTAAACCATGATTTTCTGTTGCAACTAATGGGTAACTACAGATTTGAAACTTCATTTATTAAAATAATAAAATAATTATATAGTAACACGAGGGCAAGAATAAGAGTAAATGTAGGATTAACAAAAACATTAAAATAGAAAGAGGAGTAAAACAAGGTTGCCCTCTATCTCTTCTACTATTTGCATTAGCAATGGAACCTCTGGCAGAAAGAATAAGAAACAATGGCAGAACAAAGGGATATCAGATTATGAACAAAGATAAATCTTTATGCTGATGACATTTTACTAATAATGGAAACTCAAGCAGAAGCAATAAGAGAAATAAAAATAATTCTAAAAGATTTTGAAAGATATTTAGGATTGAAAGTAAAGTTTGCAAATCTAAACATACTATCTACCAGCTCATTATCTTGCAACTCATTATTTTCTGCACCTGGGATTTCAGCCTCTGAACGCTTCCCCTAGAGCACAGCTCCTCTGCATCATGTAGAATGTGACCTTCATTGACTGTTGGAAGCACAGACTGCTCATTTTCAGGACTTAAAATCTCATGATGGCTTGCAGGCCTAGCATCCTCATGATCTACACCCACAGTAACATGAATACCAAGTGCAATCATGGGCTGAACTACAACATTTACATCCATTGTGAATGGTGGTTATGCTCACATGCAAGTGGAGTGAAGCATCCAATTCAGAAAAAAAATGGCAAAGCAGAAAACACTTTATATGGTTTTCTCCAACCTGATGCTCTCCTCTGATGGGGAAGGATGACTCCTGATACCCACAGCTATCATACTAGCTGGCATGATGTCCAGTGCAATCCACCACAGTTGGAGGATTTCAGATTGAAGAAGCATACTTTATATCAATGCATTTGTGGTTAGAATATTATTGCAATGTTTGATGAAATAGTTGTGTCTGATGAAATAGATGTAATTCCTGAATACGTTTCCTAAATGATTTTACACACACTTTGATCTTTTCTTTCAGATATAGATTATGTCCCTGCACAATTCATTGGTATCTTTGTTATTAGCACTATCTACTTTTTTATTTACGTCGGAGTAAGAAATTATCATCCTAAAGTTTATCCTGAAACCATAATTCCAGGTATAATTGTGAAATATGCACACTTTTATTTTAATTACAAGTTCATCTCAAATATATTTTAATCATGTTTCTCTAAAAAGAAGGCACAATGTAACTGGCGTATGTTGCTGCAGGTTTTTTGGGGGGGAGGGGGTGTTGCCCTCTCAGTAAGGCCTATGTTGGGAGAAAAGCATCCAGTGACACTTTCACTCCGGCTGGACCTGGGCCCTTTGCTGGAAATAACACGACACACGATGTCATGTCTTGTCCGGCATGGGACTCTGTCCAGTAGACAGGGTGAAAGCATTCTAGGATGCTAAATTCACCCCATTTGATGAGGTCATATTGCAGTGGGAGATTCAGATCCTTGGCTCCAGAGTTATAGCCTAGTAGCCAAAGTACTGTGCCACACTGAAGTATATTATTCTTAAAATCACTAGGTATTTTTTCAATGGAAATGAAAAGTCTGCTACCCTGCAGATAAGCTTTCAAAGCTACTCAAAATCAAGGGAATTTAAAATATTATTTAATTCTAGCATATGAAACAGAAAAAGTTATGATAGAAGGCATATCCTCTATAAGTATGCTACCAGTGGTAGTATTTCACAAGTAAAATTGTTTTTAAGGTAACAATCTCATATCTTGGTTCTATAAACCTGGCTGTTCCAGTGTGCCTTTCCAGATTAGGAAACTCCTGGCATCATGTCCCAAATGCACTTTGTTAGAGACTAGGATTGTCTGCACATTGCATCTACCTCCAAAAAAACTCTACATACCTCCTGACAAGTTTAGCACTTTTAAATTTTGTCCATTACATTTGGCCCGACCTTTTAGATTTTAAATGCATCATGTGTCATTGTTTTTAGTGTTTTATTGTCTTTGCTTGATGTTTTATTATTTGCTTATGAGTTTTACTGTTATATTTGTATGTTGTTGTTTGTTGCGGCCTTGGCCATTGTAAGCCGCATCTAGTCCTTCAGGAGATTTTGCGGGGTATAAATAAAGATAATAATAATAATAATAATAATAATAATAATAATAATAATAAATGTCTTTTGCAACATAGGATGTTGCCTAATACAAATCACACAGTTGGTCCATCTAGTCCAGTAATACCATTTCTGACTAGTAGTAGCTTTTAGAGGTTTCAGCACTTAGCTGGCTTGGTGGATGGAAGGGGTCTGGTTCGGCACCACTAGACACCACCGATTCCATCCTCCCATGGGCCTCTGGCTCAGCAGGAGACATGAAATTCTGGTTGTCATTTCTTGCCACATGTAATGACACTGGCCACAGCAAAACGGGAGGCGGGAGGAAGGAAAGGAGGAATCACCTACTCCATCCCCTTCTGTCTTCTCCAGCCAGTGTTGGTAAATGTGAAGACCACCAACATTTTTTCTCCCTAAAATGAGGATACAAAAAGGATGGTAAGTGCCATCCCCTGTATCCTGGCTGCCCAAGCCTAGGAAATGTGGGATGGCCATATGAACAGCCACAGCCTGTTACAATTCAGAACTAGCCCCACTGTTTACACTTCCACAAATTGCAGGGAACCTCAAACTATTAACACAACAGAAGACCACATTAATTAACCTTGGTGTTCATTAGGTTAAATGGGCCTCATTAATAGTTGATGTAATGTTTTAAATGTTTTAATGTGATATTAATTTTAATGTTTATTTTAATTGTATGTTGTTTCTATGGCATTGAATAGTTGCCTATCTGTAATGCCGCCTTGAGCTCCCTTTGGAGTGGAGAAGGGTGGGCTATAAATATGGTAAATAATAAATAAATAAATAAATAAATAAATAAATAAATTTGTCATGTGGATGCCATGAGTCCATTCAGTGTCATATCCCACCTCATTTGGTCTGTGTGCATGAGCCCTTAGGGAAGCTGCCTTTTTTGAGCTGTCAATTAGTCCCATATTGTTGGATTGCACAATTGCAATTGTGCATGGAACAGTTCTCTTCGACAGTGGTTCTCAAATTTTATTTTTACAAATATTTTAAATTTCAATGCAAAGTGGTCAAGTATTCTGGGATTTGAAATCCCAAACACCTATAGAAGGTCTGAGTTTTTGAAAATCCCTGTTTCATGTAACATGCTGGACTCTGTAGTCAATGGTTTCTCTGTTTTTGGGAAAGGGGAAAGGTATAATTAAGATGTAATCAGGCCAACCCTGTGACAGAAATAGGGAGGAGAAATAAAATGGTATGTTGTAGAAGACAGTGTTGTAGAAGAAAGTGTAGAAGATTGAATATATTGAATTTATTTTAATTTGGTTGTTAGGTTTACTTTCTGGTATATTGTTGGCGATCTCAAGTTGCGGCTGGTCAATTGCAAATCATTACTTCACTGCTGTGGTCAGCTTTCCAATAATCACCGCCGTAAGTTGCAATAAAATCATAAATCTGTCTGTAAATGAGGAGTGGGGAAAATTGGTTGCATAGTTTAGAAATAAGGCAGGACAGTGAATACTTATTTGAGGGGCTTCAATTTTTTTTCCATGCCAGGTAGGGCATGCATGTTTTCTTTTCGGTGTTACAACTACTTTTTGCATGTTGACTGAGGAATTATGGATTTTTGTCCTCCAACAAATAGCTTCTCTGAACTTCTCTGAACTTCATCCCACAGAATAGGTGAAGTGTTTGGGAGAGTAGGCTTTTCCTAAAGCTTTGCCAAGCCCTGTTTTGAAATTAAATGAAAGATTTTCCTATCTCCATCATACCTAATCCTTCTCTGTTTTAAGATTTATCAGTTCGATTTGCTATCACACAGTAAAAGCTTGTCTCCCCCACTGTTTCTCCCGTTTTCTCGGGAGTTCAACTTACAGCCCAACTTGCAACAACATGTATACAAGGGTTAGCCTGATGTTCTTACAGTGGCAGGGGGAGAGGGGAATGAAGCTTTAGCTTTCTTACATTTCTCTCTGCTATCCTTTTGATAGGCAAAAGCAGTTTCAGAGCAACAAGAATTCAAAAGGATTTTTATGACCCAACGCAAGAAGGAGGGGTGTTGAAAGAGGGAGCTTGCTAAAGTTACAGAGATATTAAGTGAAGGATTTGCATGCTTGCTGTTTTCTCCTGAATGTTTTGAATATCATGTTTGCTATACCTCCTCAGTCCCAAAACGGTGGCAGAAAGAAATAGATTCTGCCCATCTTGGCTCCTCCTTCCATGATGACATCATCTTTTTTATTTACAAACAGTCAATGAGGAATTCCCATCACATGTTAAATTGGGTGTTTTTCCACATTTCTACGTGGGGGATTGGGGAATAAACCACTTGCCAATCAACTCAGGAATGATAGGAAAAACCAAAAACTTTAGAAATGGGAAGATACTTCTAGCCCACATTTGAAGCTTATGTCATGTGAAGGGCACCATTGGTGGAAATTTCTTAAGTGTATAGAAACACTTATTTGTGTATCATGAAGTCAGATGTTTTACATACAATCTTGAGGAGTTGGTTATAAGGAAGTATATATTAGGTTCTATTTTGCTCTGTAGATTCTGTTTTCCTCGTTTCCTTATTTTATTATGATAATATGTTATTGCATTTTCAAAATGCAATCATGACCATGCTGGAATTTACAGAGTTAGACTCCATGGCTGATCGAAGACATTTTTGCCCGAGGCAAAGGCCCTCACATCCATCGGTATAAATATACAATTCAATTTAAAGAAACAGAACTGTGTTTATGATGGAGCAATGCCCTTTGTGGCGCAAAGGGGCCACTTAGGGATGTCAGACACAGTTTTGTTATCCAGTAATATCAAGTATAACAAAAATGTAATAGTTGAGATTCTGTAAAGAGACCTCCTTTTGTATTCTCTAGTATCTGCTGCTTGAGGTGTGAAAGCACATTAGAAGCCTACATAAGAAAGAAGTCAACTTTATCCAGAGAGTTTCCCCGCCAAATTAATTACAGAGTGGGGTGCAACAAAGAATTAATCCCAGAGAAGCCTAAATATCTTTGAACAATGACCATGTGGAGAGGGTGTTCTTTAATGAAAGCTGATTAAAGAACTGTGATGCTGAGGAAATGGCTTGACTATTCTGCATGAAAAAAGCATCGCTTGTTGAGCTTGTATGTCTTATCTTCCCCAAATAGATGCACTCACATAGTTCACAATGGGAGTTAACATTGTGCCTATTCCATCTACATAGAGGTATTAGGGTGTAGTGATTTCAGCTCTGGACTACAAGTCTGGAGACCAGGACTCAAATTCCCACTTAGTCATGGAAATTCACTGACTTTGGCCATAAACAAATATTGTCAAGTAAATCCTGTGGCAGTTTGCCTTACAGTCACCATGAATCAAAATGACTTAAAGATATACAACAAAAATTAGTTGCCGCAGCCATGAGATGGTGTGTGGAGCTGAGGTGTGCTTCAAAATGGACAGTGACAAACTTTTACCTAGTGTTGAAGCACCTTTGTGCAGAAGTATTTGAATTTAACACACAGTACTACTACTATGAGAGCTAAGCCTATCTTCCCTTTCTGTCAGCTGCTTAGACAAAAGCCAAATTTCCTCATTCTTGTCCAGAGCCATTTGCAGGTTTGATTCAGGCTTTTGTTTGTATAATTAGTTAATAATTCACTGCACAATTATATTTTATTAAATGCATTATTAAATTTAAATGAGATTGTTAAACATGAACAAATTTCTCACAAACAAATTATCTATTATTCACTATGTATTAAACATGTTCTTATAGGGGCCTGGCTTTATAGCTGCAGTGTGGGGAGTGTTGGTGTTCAAAGAATTAAAGGTAAGGGATATGACATTCTGAACATACACGTGCCATTGCAGCCATATCTTCATTTGAGGAGCAGTGTTAAGACTGAGAGGGAAAAAGCATTGGGGAACTGAGTTGCACACTTTCTTCATGCTACAGTTGAAGTATTATTATTTATTTATTTATTATTTATTAACTTTATTTATATCCCGCAAAATCTCCCGAAGGACACGATGCGGCTTACAATTAGATGTTATGCCAATGTATTTCCCTCCTGGCAAGATGTGTGAGTTCAGACTTGGATGTTCCAGACTAGTCAAGAGAAAGGAAGCACAAATCTCTTGTACCTTCTCTTCCCCCCCCCCCGCCCCCGTTTGACTTTTCAAACCATTAGATGGAAGTTGTTATCAAAACTCACCTTGCTCCACTCAACTTGCCTTCACTCACCTTGCTCCACATTACCAAAAGTCAGGGGAAAGTCTGAATTCTGGTTCAGAATTTGGGTTTCCCCTTGACTTAGGGTAGTAGCTTACATGGAACCAGCTGCAACTGTCATCCCAGGAAATTGGATGATATTCCCCCCTGGTCCATGTTGAGGCAGGAAGCACAGAGAAGGGAGGAGGAAGAGGAGGAGAAATTTCCTCCCCTTCCTCTTCCCTTGCCTTCACTGATTTTAAGGGAAGGGAAGGAAAAAAATGTAGGTCCTGTGTTGTGACTGGACACCGTTGCGACATGGGGGGAAAGGGGGTCAGTTAGGGTAGTTTTCCAGTGGCACAGAACTGAATTCGGATTGTTGAGCGATGGGAACTCCCTGCCACATCCATGACACCTGGAGAAGCCCCTGTGGGGAAATCTTTTGAGCCAATCGGGTGTCTAGCATGATGAATCAGCCCTGAATTAAGTGTAGATGTGCCCTTGTGTCAGAACTTGGGAAGCTCTACGAATAAAAGCACGCTCCCAAAGACAAATCCTTGGATACAGCTATATTTACGTCTTACCACAATTAATAGGAAGATAGTACTGAAAGTTTCCCACCAAACCTCCTGTGTATATCATCCACCATCCCATTCTCCCTCTACTGGCTAATTCCATTCCCACCATAGCTATCCTACAGTGTTGTTTCTCCCCAGTCCAGATGGTCCTTATCTCTATATGCTCCCATCCTTCTTCTCGCCACCCCCTTTCAACATTCATGTCATGGGGTAGATAGAGCAGCTCGTTCCAAGCTGGTACAGACATCCTGACACCTTGAACCTAAGCTCTTTAGACCTTTAAATGATAACACCAGTACTGATCTGCAACAGAAATAATGTTCCATAGTAAACCATTCTTACCAGATGGAAACACTATGCACCAACACACATTTCTAAACCTTAATTAAAGGCAGAGACACATAAAATACAGCATGATTGTTCAGGGGACCTTTCGCACTATAGAGTTATAGCACTACGTTTCTATTTTGACTGCCATGGCAACATCCTATGGCATTCAGAAGGAGATTTTTAGAATTCTGTGCCAGATAGTTCTAGTGTGTCACCAAGCTATAAATTTCAGAATTCTATAAGTTGTTGCAATGCAATGGCAGTACTAACCTAATGTTATAACTGTAAAAGTGTGAAAATTTCCTAACCTAAAGTTAACTAGCCTATGGGTAATTATGTCAAGGTAGTAATTGCTATCCGATATATCAGCAGCAGTATATTTGTGTCATGCTATTTTATCCTCACAATGATTCAGTTAGTTAGGAAATGCAAAGAAATAGTGAGTGGGATGAAGTGAGGGGGAAGCCGGGTGATGCAAGGCAATGGAGTCCCCACGTCCCACCGCCAGATTGTCCATGATGTGTGGCCATTCTGGTGGCCCATATGATGAGGTCATTATAAAGCATGTACTGATAAATCAACACTGGTATGAATCTGCTGATCTACAATGCAATGCAGATAATGTCATGTTATATTTCTTGAATCTCTTGTATTTTTCTTCCTTGCTTTCCCCTTTCCAACCCATTCTATATTTCTGCAGGGACTGAAAAACTATGTGTTGCTCATAGTAGGATTTTGCTTCATTTTGGCTGGATCACTTTCAACATCTTTTTGGAAAGCCTGAAGATAACATCGCTTGAACCAGCAGATGGCACCATCAACTAATAAACTTTGTGTATGTGTGCAAATTATATATAAAGACTGAATTTATTTTGTGTTCAGACTTACATCCTATCTCCAAGCTATCTCATTATATGTGTGTGTGTAAAAACAGATATTCCAAAATCCAAAAACTTTTACATTTTATATTAAACCTCCCAGAATTGGGGACTACAGTAAGATATTTCTATACGAATAACATATTTTATTTTATTTATTTATTTATTTAGAAGTTTTATRTAGAAGTTATTTATTTATTTASKAGCCTTCTCACCTCGACGAGGGACTCAGGTTGGTTTATAGCATATATAAAATACAATCATATAAAGAACACCAAGTACAAGTCATTACATATTAAAATAGTACAATACAGTACAATAAAAACATCATCATTACAATTTCCTAAGCCAAATCYTCAATCCAGTCATAGTCATAGTCGTACAGTTCATCATAATTCATCACAGGGAGAGGTTCTAGGTTCAGTCCTCAAATGCCACATTCCAGAGCCAGGTTTTTAGTAATTTCCTGAARGTCAGGAGGGAGGGGGCAGATCTGATCTCTAGTGGGAGGGAGTGCCAAAGCCGGGGAGCCACCACCGAGAAGGCTCTGTCCCTCGTCCCCACCAACCYTGATTGCGAGGGTGGTGGGACCAAGAGGAGCCCCCCCCCCCACCGGAAGATCTTAATAGCCTTGATGGTTCATAGGGGAGAATTTATCATGGAAACAGGAGAATGGATTTAATAGTCCACCCTATTGACATTAATGACTTCTGCCAGAAGTTACCACAGATCAAACATTAGTATTTGAATTTTTGAATATTTTTAAAGCCACATATAGTTAAATCTGTGGATACAGACTGCACGGAGATCCAACTATATCTTAGCTATCAGACCTAACAGACTATGACAGATAGAATTAAGATACATGTATATCTTCGATCTTTCCGGTTTTTAATTTTAGTTTATCTGCTGGCTTTAATTATGTTTCATGCAATTTCAAGGTAACAAAAATACCATCCGAGATGGCTGTTGTGCCACTGACATTATATCTCAATAATCTGACTAACACATTCATTTTGATTTACCAAGATCTTGTATCACACTAGTGCTATTCCCTTTGTGAAACATGTAGCATGTAACAAAGTCCAGCTACTCCTGGAGAAAGCCTCATCTCAAGACTATTATTGTACATTCCTAAATCCTTATGAAACAGGTTGCCTTTATAACTCTAACTTTATAACTCTTTCTAAATTATCTAGGCTCAGGCCCAAGTTTAATTTAAACTTTAATTTAATTATATTTATAATTTGGGGACTTGTGCATTATGGGATCACAAATCACTGGGAAGCTTGTTTTAGAGATGTTAACTCGATTCTTAGCCATAGGCTAATACAACAACATTTTGGTGTTACTTATGCTCAACAATATTGGGAAAGCCACACAATTCCCACCAATGATTTAGAAACCAAAGCACGTCCTTGGAACATAACATCTCAGCTAGAAGCAGACATCATCTAAATTCCAGGATACATTATCCCCTGTCAAAGCTTTTTCCAAAGCATGTCATTTAAACAGATTCCCTTGATGACAGCCAATGTATTGCCAATCCCCACACTAAAAATTATATTGGAAATACTATATTTTGGCTTCAATTGTAGGCAAAAATAAAGTGGTCCAAAACATGGCAGTCATTTAAATTAACAGCTTAATTTCACTTGAATGCAATTTTAACAACAGCAATCTATTGTCCTCTTCCATGCCCTAAATCAAAAAAATGAAACCATACAATTTTAACTAATGTTCTCTGCCTGCCCTCCTTTCTCATAATCTACACAGTTTCTGCAGCAATGTGAAGGCATTGTTTTTGTACCTCCCTGAGGATTTATAATGCCTTCTGCAAGCATTTTAGTAATAGATCCCGCTTCTTCCTGCTCCATACCAACTCCTTTGACTATACTATATCCGCTTCTGAACTGTGCTGTTTTACATTGCAGGTGCTATTGTAAACTGCTCACCTATGTTATATATCTATATAAATAAAAATGTAAATGTTTGTTTGTTCAAAATCTCAAATCTCTCAAAATTCTTCACTGATGGCTTTGAAATTTTGACACAATGTTGATTTCGAATAAGCACACGTTTTTATGTGTTTATATACCTGTGACAGGTAAAAATATACTTTTTTGGAAAAAGAGTGCCATCTGTTGGCTGTCAAAGCAACACAAGCTATACTACATATTTTACGATTCTATTTCAGTGTTTCTGAATACATTGTTACATTGAATTTTCATATATTTCAATTTAGTTTCATTTTAATTTAATTAATTTGTGTGACATTGCATTGGAATTGAGAGGAACATCAGACCATTTGGGAACGCATTAATATTGCTTGCAAGAGATTTCAGGCAAACATTACCTGTAATTCCTTGATCGACACCTATGGACAGAATAAATGCTTGCCTAAAATATTCTACTTTGTGGCAACATGTAAAGACCTTAAAATTAACTACAAATATGCATGTCCATTTGCAAAATGATTGATCACCTGAGATATTCTTAAATCAACTGCTGGAAATTGGGAACAGTAAGGTGCTGGTTGATCTGACCTCATAACTTCAGCAATTTAGTGATGTCAAAAGAATAATTTGTTGAAAAGGTTTTCCCCAAATATTCAAACCAATTATAAGAATCACAACTGGCTGAGTGAACAAGTTATTCTTGCGACCAAGGACAAAGACGTGTATAAACTTAATATCATTCCGTCTACTATTCAAAGCAAGGTAATAATAAACAAGTCCATCAACACTGTTGTGGAAGCAGATAAAGTAGTTAATTATCCAACAGAATTTTTGGATTCACTCAATCTTCCAGGGATGCCACTACACATACTGAAATTGAAAGTTGGTGTGCCAATTATCATGTTGGGAAATATCAACCAGCCAAAGCTTTGCAAAGGCACACGGCTTGTAGTAAAAACATTAATGAGCAATGTCATAGAAGCAACAATCTTTTCCAATTGTTGTATTATGGTTTTACCACTCCCACCCTCCCCTCCTTTTACATGGAATGTATACAGCAAACTACAGAAGTTACATCTGAAATACCAATGTCAGTATTAATTTTTCTAATCCACATTTTAGCACATTCTCTAAATAATTGCTACCTGGCTCCCACATCCTCTTAGTTATTGTAACCTTTTAAATTTTATCTATATTATTCCATTTGTAATTTGTTATTTCCACATTTAACATATTAACTACATACTTATAACAATTAATCTATATCCATTTTGTTGTATCTTTCCAACCCCTCACTAAAATAATTTGTGCACACACTATTAATGTCAACCAATTTTTCTTTTTATACATTCTTCACTCCTGTTATCCATGCATGTAGAACATTTCTATTAACTATTACTATTTGTAAATTTAACATTCTATTGACTTTTCCTTCAATCATTCTCTGGTATTCTTGCACTAGATCACATTCCCATATCATATGATTAAACACCCCTCTTTGTTAAAAAAAAAGCAACAATCTAGACAGGACCTTTCAAAGGTGAAGATTTTCTCATTCCTCGCATTCCTGTGATTCCAACAGATATGCCATTTGAGTTTAAAAGATTGCAATTGCCAATTCGATTGGCATTTACAATCACCATCAACAAAGCTCAGGGCCACTCTTTAGAATTCTAAGGTTCAGATCTTGACATAGATTACTTCTCACATGGACAATTATATGTTGTGTGTTCTAGAGTTGGCAAAGCAGACAATCTCTATATCTGCACAGACAATGGAACAACAAAATATATTGTATACCCATAAGCATTGTGAAATCAAATATATTAGAAACCAGCTCTTTCTCTTATCTTTCTTTTCCATTTAACCAGACTGGGCCACAGCAACGCATGTCTGGCAACACCTAGTATATATATAGGCCCGGCTTTTACCTTGGGACCCAAAGTGGCCCACAACCTTTAAAAACCATATAATTAAAATATAAAAATAGTAAATATTACAGTAGTATTAAACTATAACAATGGAAACAATTTGGTTTAAATAAATTAAAAAGCATCTGCAGCCCATTGTTTCCATTCAGTCCATCAAAGACAAGGGAGGAGGGAAGGCAAATATTTTGGCTAATGGTCTTTCCTTTATTATTTTGGCTAATGGCCCCATCTGAAGCATGTGTTATTGCCTGAAACTGCTCTTATTCTGCAGTCCCTGAACCACATCAGTTCATTTCAATAGCTTCACTAAATGTTTGCTTGAATAAAAAGATTTTTTTACTTCATATGTCTTCATTTGAACTAGATTTGAGCAACAAGGAAAGATCCCATAATTGTGGTAGGAAAGCAGCTAATATTCAGGGAAAGCAGAGGTGTGACATGGACATTTTTAACACTAATTAGTAGAAGTGGAGTGATTCATATGAACTGCTAATTAACCACATTAATGCATTAGGTAAGGCCATCTACTGGAGCAGGTGTTAGTTCAGCACTTAATATTGCCTAATTGACTTGTATCTCAGCAGTCTAGGAAGGGTATATTTTCCCAATAATATTCAATGTGTTCCTAATCTGATTAACCTAATTCAGAAAAGCTGCTTCTGGTTCTAGAAGGAGAGCAGATATAATTAATGCACCAAGTACAGAAGTAATGAAAATATGGTCCATCATCAAAGATCTATAAGCACAGAGAACCAATATAGTAATGTAAATGTTGTAATCTTTTAGATTATTTGGTTATGCCTATAAGCAGGTGAAAATAACATAAAATCTATCCAGTTGTTTCCCTGCAAAGTGGTGAGAAAAACAAGGAAAAAGTAATATTATTCAGACAAATACCTTTTGTGCTGTACTTAAGAGTTCATGGATAAGTAAGATTTCCACATTGTACCAGAGAAATTGTGGAGTGTAGGAAGCACACAAAAAGCAAAGTAATAATGCTTGAAGCAATGACATATC